TAACATATCGAATACCTAAACTTTGATCACGGCATATTTCAAATCTGGGTCTAAAGAAGAAATATATACTTTGTTCTAAAGCCAAAACTGTTCTCAAATATATGGTCCATTTGTGATCGTACAACGTTGAAAATGAATCCACCTGCCAGCATAGACGGACTAGACAACAGCTAAAGATGGTGGTGTGTCCGTTGACGTGAATTTGATAGATTTTAGCAAACCATTTAATAAGATTTTTCACTTACGGCTCATACACAAGTTCTCAGACTATGGAATAATGGTTTTACAGGAGCGGACAAAAATATTATTATGTGGTCAAAGACGGTGATGGTAAATAAGACAGCATTTGAATGGAATGTGATGTACAACCAGGAGCCATTTTAAGTCTGCTATTTCTATTTGCAAACGTTAGTGAGTTCCCGAGACTGCTTAAATCGTTGACACTGTTATCTGCGGATGATATGAAAATTTGGAGCGCAATAAATAGTGAGGCTGACGGATTAGTTAGACGGTCTTAAAGTAGGGGTTTGGAAAACAATGCTAGAGTGAGCTAAGAAATACCATACACGGAAATAGCTATCAATACTAACAACGGTACATAGCTTTCATGCATGCAGGAACAAAAATACTTTAGCATTAAGAGTGTCAAAACTTGAAAACCACGCCACATTGTATCCCAGCAGCCACCAAATATTTTTTAGTGTTATAGTTACTTCGTCGAGCAAACAAATGTTCCGGGTTTCATAAACCACCTACGTGAGACTTCATCTAGAGTATTGCACTTAAGCAGCTAGTTCATGCCTGAATGAAGATGCTACCACACTAGAGCGTGTGGCAACTAAGTCAGTAGTGTTTACGAAATTCCCAACAGTGAGTGCTTAAAACGACTGGACCGCTTCTTCTTATCGTAGAAAGCAAGTTGACAGTCCGCATATTGAGTAGTGATTTGGGTGCCAACAAATCATACATTTCTGCTCTCTGCGAAAATAATCATTTTCGAAGCAAGAACTTTCGAAAAACTGCGATTGAATGAACTGGAAATAGGGTTCCTTTCTTCTCATCGAGTGATCAATAACTAGTCTGTCTCTTAACCGGACAAGCCGTACTTTTACCACTACGAACACTTCCAAAGAAAGTTGAGTCTTTAATAAGAAGGTTGCATGGATTAACACAGGTACGTCTAAACACTGCTATTATTTTCAAAAGAACTTTAAGTCGAACCGAATTTGTGATTTCGCCGTAAGATACGGTCAAATAGAGACATTTGTCTATCAACGGAAGTATACATTTTAATTGCTTAAGTGTCCCAAATTGTTCAATTTAAGAATACCCTAGGTTACACGGTGTAGAAATTACAAATGACTGCAACCTAGCGCAGAGAATTTAGCATCATCGGAAGTCACTTCCTCAGTAACAAGTGCACTCACCATTTTGATAGCAGTTGTAAAATGATTTCTGCCATGGTAGGCAGGTCGATTGGAGAACGGTAAAATTAAAAGCAACAACATAAGGTCTGAGGGCAAAGTCGTACTACTGACTGCATAGGTGTGTGACAGCAGTAAGCTGTTTACCTCAGAAAATCCATCTGTTGTGATGCTGCCTCTTCATAATGGAAGAAGTGAGAAAAAGACAACCCCACAGATTTCCGGATCCAGCACTAAAACTTTTTGAAAAGTGGAGTCAACTTCTCTTAAAAAGGCAGTGGTCCACCAGCCTCCAGTAGACGTCCCTTGGCTCCTGTGACCACGCTCACATGAAGCTAAGACCAGCGCTAGCCTAACTTCTTCTCCAGGATCCTCAAGAAATACCCTTATACGGTGTGGGCAACCTGGAAGCACATGAAATTAACTTGCTCATAAACTTTATTTACAATCGAATTTTAACGCACACAATCACGGTTTGACAGATCTAGAATAATACTATTACTGTGACATAATTTTAGCTCTATATCATGTTGTTTCCATATACATTCTCCTATTACGAAACATCTACATATTGCAAAAACATGAAGTAACAAATAAAACTTAAACTAATAACAGAGACTACAAAAGTAGCACTAACTTTCTTTCTATTTCTTCAAACGACATTCAGATTTCTCATCAAATTTGTAACAAGCTCGTTCGTTTTGTCTTTTATTTGAAGACTGATTCATAGCCACCACCGGTTTCGTTTGAAATTTATATGAATAATCGTGATGCATACAAGACCGTGATAAAACCACTCGCTTAGACTAACTCTTCACAGCTGTACAGAGAAAACATATTGAACATCCTACCAATAGGGACGCTCGTTAGTGTAACCAATCAGAGACTCCGGGATAAAACAAGCTGATTTGACAAGCATGTTTGTTATCACGAAGTTAGAAAAGTAAAGCAACAAAGTCTTTATTTTCCCAAAGGATCAATTTTGATTGTTATTTGGATAAACAGTGTAAGTTACAATTTTCTGCAGGATCTAGTTCCAGTTAGGTTTGAAGGTTAGACCATTATGACCGAAGTTACTAAACATACACCCTAAAAGACTAATAGACAATACTATTGATGACATTTTTGGCTGCATGGTAAGCAGTTGGCTTTGAGTAAACCACTGCTCAAATTATCATAATGATCAGTAAATACTGACTTTGAACCCATGATGAACTATTTGAACTGTAATTTATTTTAACCACTCAGTAATGCAGGTGGAGTCATTACCGAAAGTGAGATTATTGTTGACAATAATTCAGCTGGGATAGCGCAATTTTGTAGGAATTTGTGTTTTATTTATTTATATTTCTTCTAAGTACCTAGTCTAAACAACCTGCTGACACCTGAACTATTGGTACGTGGGTTGATGATTGAGTTCAAACATTGGTCTTTATAATGAGGACGAATAGGGATGGAAGACAATCCACGACGTTGGTAAATGATGGGTTTTTTAATATTTTAGCATGGACTATCAGTCGGAACGCTTTAGGAATAACATAATCCCAAGTCAATCGATGATTATGATGTCATCGTTAGTACCACAAAAAAACCGACTTCCAAGACTCAAATGGTTGCTTCGAAATACCCATACATTTTTCAAAGTAAACAACTTACACAGAAATCCGATTTTTGCACATTAAATTTCAGTCACCGATTGCTGACTGGAGATTCCAATATACCGAGGGGGAATTTTAGGGAGGAGAAACCTGTATTCACAATAATAAAAGACGTAAGCCAACAGTGTAAGGTTGTCAATAATTGAGGTACGCTAGTTCGTAAACCAACAGTGGTTCAAGCTTAAGATACATAGGTCCTAGGTAACAATAACTAGGGAAAAAACCAACCCTTAAACTGTGGTTAATTTGCAGTAAAATTTATTATTGACACAACTAGACTTTACAGTGTCCATACCAAAACTAGTAATATTGGAAAGCGCTAGAAACGACAATAAACAGTACCACCAAGTAACATGACTATATTAACTCGAAAGCACTAAGAGTTTAAAATTAACCAACTACAGACCGAACTCTAATCGGTTTCGCCTATCTTGGTGGAAATACTTTGCTTTGAATTTGCAGTTGCAGGTTTTTGAAGTAATTTTGAACACGATTTTACAATAAAACGAACTGACTCATAATCCGTAACGCGTAGGACATAACTAGTGTTGATTATAATAATGTAAAGTTATTAATATAATAAGTGGCTAACAATTCTGTCTTTAATAAACCAACAATCTATTTTTAGAAATTCTGATAATCTGGACATGAAATTAGTTTATAGCAACTTCTGTACTAAAATTGAAAGTCACCACCTTGTCCTGAGGCACCATCGGGAGCAATAAACCGGAATTCTTGTTCTGAGTTAGAAGGAAAGGCTTCATTATTATCAGTGCCATCACCGACAACGACTTTGCTTTCGTTCTCATCATCCTGAAAAGAAGGGTAAATCTGTTAACATACATTATTGCTGATAATAATTCTAAACTCCAAAATAAAATAAGCCCTGAAGATGAAAATTATTTAAAATGCATACAGCTTTTCTGGCATACCAAGCTGATATCGTCTCATCAAATTACGGTAGGTGAGTTTGAACTAAGCTATAAACGAAGCAGATAGTAAACAAACACTTCGATATAACAATTATCAGACAGCTATCTCTTAATATTGTGATAGATATAAATCGAATTGTTTAAGATTGATGAACTTTGATGAAGGAAAGTGATTACGCTCTAAAGAAACGTTCAAAGTTCTAAGTGAATAAACACAGATAGGAGGTTCTGATTACGTGGTGATAATTTAGCTCCATGCATACTAGTTTTAGTTTAAATTTTTAACTGTGACGGAAGATTAATTGCTTTAACGGCTTACTGTTTACTCTACTTCGACCACAGAGTCCTTTTATTTGTATGCAAACTCAAAATTAACAGATTACAGATTTCCAAAGTACTTATAATAACCATTCAGTAAGTAGTGCTAATTGGACACGAATAGCGACAAATGAGCTTATTGCTTCACCAAAAGACATCTGTAGAAACCGGTACCTTTGTTCTCGAATATAACTGAAGTTAAAATGGAACACAGATAATGTTAATTACAAGAAAAGAATCTCCCGTATGAGATACGTGGTGATGTGAATGCTACAAAAACGTATTGAATACGTGAAACAGAAATTATTAACATACCGCATCATTGAAATACTTTTCAATAAGATCATAAGCAACTTGATAAACCTGAACATTACTGTGATCTTGCAGTTCTTCCAACTTATCCAAACCTCCACAAGTCTCTAGCTCAATACAAGCAGGTTCCAACTGACCATACTGATCAGAAATCTGGAATGGAAAATGTAGGTTCCAAGTAGACTCATGTTAAACGATAAAAATCACAATAAAAAGCATAACTGATACATATTTAGAAAGACTCAGCATAATACAATAAACAATATTCAAGACTACGTTACGCAGATGTTACCAAAAATAATTAAGAAACATACCTCTAAGAGTTTCTTTATTCCTTCTAAAACCATAAGCACAACCTTCGACTCGGAAACCGTAAGTAAATTGCATAGGGCTTTCAAAACATTTTGGTTCAATAAATATGCACACTGCGCCGGGGTACCGCCGCTTATAAAATTACTGATAACCCAGCAAGCTTCTTTCTGAGTTCTGAATTCGCTCTACAAAAACAAACAGAAAAACGTGAAGACATAATTGTATGGAACGCTTTTCAGATAATGATGCATGTCGGAAGATTTGGTCGACCGTAAGCTAGGTACAACCTTGGGCATGTACCAGTCGTTATGCCATACCGCGCTGAAACCACCAAGCAAATGTCATATTGACAGTGATGTAAAGCGAAAACTGTAGCTTAAAGAACGGTATGACAGGGGATTCGCAAAATAAAAAATGAGGTTGGTTTGAGTCCCTGCGACGAATCCTGAGAATATAACAAAGCTCACCGGAAACTTGGGTAAGAATTATAATTTATCGGGGTCAACGGTACTAATCGGTTGTCTAATTTTTCGTGACCAAGAACGGGTGGAACGTCCTAACTACTGAGCTGATAAAAAACGCTGATATTGATGAGAAATTTAAACAAACAACCCAGATCTACAAACCTGGTTCAGACAAACGACTAATGAATTTAATAATGGATAGGTTATCGTTCATCTGGATTTTCAAAAGCCTGATCAAGCTGCACGTAAAAGTAGACGGTGACTGAATACATGCCAGCTAATGAAATATAAGTACCACACCAACGATTAACTTCTGTTTAAAACATATCTTGTTGGTTTAATCACATTCTAACAAGTTCCAGAATATGCCCATGATCACTATTCACAACACACAGCTATTGGTTTTCCAAGACTTGATAGTTTATTGAGATCCAAGTTCTCGTTGTTTAGTAGGTTAGTAAGGAACGAATCTTGTGTTAACATAAGTTCTGATAAGTGTATGGATAAGCGGTCCAGATAACGCATTCGATTACAGCTTTGTTTACAAGCTGTGGCATTGAAGACCAGAAAATGAATGTTTCGCACTAACAGTGAGGATTCGTCTCAACCATTCGGCACTTCAGATTTAAAAAACTACAAGAATAAATTTTGTCAACCTCTATTAAAACGCAATAATTTAGTTAACCTACATCATAATTAAATTTAAGGGAAGCGAGTTAGGATTTTTGTGACGGTGCAAATATCAAAGACCATACAAGTCTTTCATCTAAATTCTCACTGTTAAATGTAATTTAGATCATAAACGATACTTCCAGTAAGAAATGGGCAACATATAAAGCTGTTAGGAAAAATCTGGTTTGGAAATCAATATTTCAATTGAATTAATAAATGTTACTGAAAGTCATGTCTTACCTTATAAAGGATCTCCAAGATGCAAGGTACGATGCTGTTACTTATAACCATGTCAATTTGATCTACACTACCAGCGGTTATGTTACTCACCACCCAGCAAGCCTCTTTGACCACGGTAGACTTTTCATTGTTTAATAATGCCGGGATATACGTTAGCAAGCCAGCATCCAAAATAGCTTGCGTTTGTTCATCGGTACCGATGACCAGATTCCCAATAGCTCTGAGAGCTGGAGAAATGAGATTTGCCTATTCCGAAATAAAATAAGTATTTTGGACTCACTGATGATGATGCTAACAAACGTAAGAGGAGCGGAACACATCCACTTTCTATTATATCATCAATAAACTCATTCACTGCATCACTAGCGTATGAAAGAGCCCATGCAGTATCTACTACAACATTTTTATTACCCTCATACTGCAGAAGCCGATTGAGAACGGGTAGGAGTTTTTTAATTACAGCACGTGGTGGAGGTGGATCTCGGTTTCGACAGAGATTTGATAACATCCACGCAATATTTGATACCACAGAAGGTTGCTTCCAAACTCGATCTAGAAGTCTAGGGAAAGTAATTAATCACAATTGCAATTACCGTAAGACTGGTTCTATGACTCCACTCTCAATGACAACATCTCGAAATTTAGATCCATCGCCGGCTATATTACTTAGAGCCCATACACTTTGCTCAGCTATGTTGATAGCAGAATGATTCAACAGCCGTATCAGCTTTGGGACCGTCCCGGATGAGACTACTGCTGCCGTATGTGAGCTATCACCCGAAGCAATGTTTGTTAGAGCCCACGCAGCCTCAAAAACAAGATCATCGCTAATACTCGGAAAAATATAATTTTAACTCACTGAGTGGAACTTAGTGACGAACCAAGAATATCGACAGCTCCTCTCTTATAAAATTCGTCAATTGGAGGATTCTTTGCACGCGACAAAGTTTTTCTGCAAAGCTGTACTGCCTTGAATCGAGTGCTTCGATCATTTGACTGCATGTCGTGGATGACTGCATCGTAATTAACGTGCTCGGGAGTATCAATTTGCTTTTCCTTCAAAGGTGAGGTTTCGTCAAGTTCAGTCAACAATATATTTCGCCGCTTCTGAAGCTGTTCATCCTTTTTAGCTTTGCGAAGTTCAACGGACTGATCAGTACGACGCCTCCGGAGTTCCTAAAATTAACATTAGAATATCTATAGGTTTACCTCAGCGTCCTTATCTTTATTTTTGTACAACCTAGATCTTTCCATCTCGTCAGTCAAAATCCCAGACTTGGCAGCCAACAAGCAATGGGAGAATGAATAAACAAATTCTCCTTACAGTTTGTCCAATGTCCATCATCTGATAACTTTTTCACGAACTATTGAAAACCGATTGGTACTTTTGCGCTCGCTTCTTGTTGTCTCAGTATGTCTGCAAGTACCCAATTGATAATAATCCAGACACTAGACTGAAAATTTGATAGTTATATGAATGACAAACAGGTTTTTGAAATTTCTCGGCTAGGGTTAGGGTCTTGTTTCCAGTTCAGTTTCTGAAGTTTACAGCCATCAGACGTAGATGCCCGACGTGACATTCGTAGTCTTTATCTAAACTACTGCACACCAGCTTAAGCATTCAGTGAACCATCATACTGATCCGTTGTTGAATGTTTGTTGGTGGTCTTCCCACCTCTCTTACTGACCAAGGTTTTTCATGTCTGATTCGAATTTGGGAGGATAGTCTCACCGAAGTTCTATAAGATATTAAAGGGATTTATTCGACAACCCAAAGTGAATCTTAAGTTACCTTCCGTGAAGAGGTTTGCCTTTCGCTATGTTCTAGCCTCTAAACAGACGGCATGGTATAACCTGAGTTCTACCCATTCCATGAATTGCACACCTTTTGTCCAATTGTTTTTTTCGTCAGAAATAGCCCTGTCTTCCAGAAAGCCACCCTATATTAAATGGACGACTCGTAAAAAGAGAGAATTTATATGTTATATGCGATGTCTTTGAAGCTAAGGTGTTGCCATTTACCTTCCTAACACTCACCCACTGTTCTGTACTGCTAAAAGATAGCAACCTATTCCCACACACATTTATGCTCAAAACAACATGGATTTCACCGGATCATACTTCAGAGAACCAAACCGATTAAATTGGTATAAATAAGAAAGTTTGGAAGAACCTCTGAGGACTTCAGAACCAAGCGAGGAGCTGACACATCTTGAGTTCTTTACCTGTGGGTGGTCTAGATGAAAATAAGTTAAAGAGGCACCGGTAGGAAGATCATCAAAAAATTTCAGTACTGCCTTTCTTCAAGATACTGGCATACTCAAAAAATTCGAGAAAACCTTTAGCAACGATTTCCAAACTTTTTACTATCCACTCAGTGAAGAGGGAACTAGAATGTAGAAAGAAGAGAAACGTATCAAGGGGGCAATAACTTCAGTTTTCTGAGGCTTTGAGCCTAATGAAGCACCAACACAAGGTATGGATCTCTGGTAATTCTCTGGTGGTTGATCAGATATCCTATGCTCCATTGGGGGTAACAGGCGTAAGTAAGTAAGTAAGTAAGTGATCAGATATACATTGCAGAACTCAGTAAACTGCATCACGAGGTAAGCCTTAACTTGGCACCCTAAAGGCCTCCTGAAAAAAAGAAATGCCGAAGGACCCACTGAGCCTAGAACCACAGACATTTCAAAATAATGATTAGCACTTGGATATAATTGGAAAGGTATACGCATGACAGAGTTGGTTGGAGAATCTTGTTAGGCAGCCTATGCTCTAATGGGGTTACATGCTTAAGTAAGTAAGTAGGAGGAAAAACCAGCTGCCAGTTAATAAGAAGATTAGGAAGAGATGACAGAGATGGACAGAACGAAACGAAGAGAAATTATGTTAGAGATGGAAGGGGGAAATATGTGTGTTAATTGTTATCGGATACAAATGGTCTCCAAATCTACTTTACTCACTTGATCATCACGCCTGTTACTCCTACTCGAGACAAAAGTCTTCTGGACCGAGTGAGGAGACGAAGAAGTAAATGCTTGGCGAGGTTGAGGAATAAAACTTACGACGATAGACTCTAGTAATTTGGATTATTCACCCTAAATTACAGAAGAATCAGAGGTGACCTGATAATAGTATACAACATATTAAGCACGTCAAGCCATCCGAATATGAGCATCTTGCTGAAGCATCACCACCACGCCCCTCGAAGTATTCCTTGAAAAATCGCGCATCGAAGAGCAAACGCTCAGGTTCATGTACACATTTCCTGATTAAGAGTTGCTGCAATTTGGAATGATGCATGATGCGTGCCTCGAAATTCGCTATCACCTCAGATCACTAATTGAATCTATCGCACTTATTATCTCTGTTTCCTCCCACTTGCTTACACTTCGGTCCTTGAACACAATCTTCACCACCGATTAGTTAAATTATTTGTTGAATAACTTATTTATTGATTCATTTATTTATTAAGTTCCGAGATTTTCCTGTTAGCATTAGGCTATCCCCCTTTTTATTCTTCACATTGCCAGTAACTGATCTCGAGCCTAGTAATTTGCTAGGGGCCAGTATTCAGAAACCCTACTGCCGTGAAAACAAAGCTACTGATTAGAATCATGGGACAAAGAAATTCATATATAATTGTCGACTGACTAGAATTAGTGAGATTGAGTGGCTAGACTCTGAAGTTTATTCCATCATCAGGATTCCACGTGATAATGATAGTCTTCTCAGGGACGTTAAAACGTCAACTCAGGTTCCATAATGTCCTTCTGTCCATACTGTCAACTGCATTATCATAGTCAAGAAAACTGACTTACAATGATGAGTGCTATTCGCCTGATTGCTTATTAATGAACTATGTTGACACAGTTAGGTCGACACATGAGTGACCCCTACAAAATCTAACTCGCTGGACTAAAAGTTGTCCATTTACTGAATCTTTTATTTTGGCTCAACGCAGCTTTGTTAAAACTTCTCCTGATAATGATGGTAGTGTGGTACCATAGTAGTTCTCATGCTTACCAAGATTGTTATAACACATAGACGCTTATGTTAGAAATGGACATGCAAAGTTGCCCTCAAACAGCTGACATCCCATACTGAATATGAACAGGTAATCTTTCGGTTCATTGGAAAAACTACAACATCTTAAGACAGAAATCAGGTATAAGAGAGACCTAATCATCTTATTATTAGTCATCCTCCTCAAACATTAGTGTTACACCCTTGATATTCTTGTAAATGACGAGAAAAGCCTGTCGTATATAATTAAAAAAGTAAGCAATGTCAGGTGTACTACGTCGTGGTTTCAATAATCGTTCTCACTTGAAATCCAGTAGTAATTCTTTATTCATTAGAATAGAACAAAAACAGTAACGGACAACTCCTAATCGACACATCTGTAAGTAGGGATAGTACATCATGTGTATATAGAACGTACACAAGTAAAAGTGCTTGTCGTATCATTAAGTGCAAGCTGATCCGTAAAAATAGAATGCTCTCAATAACCATTCATTTCTCTAGTATCATACCAAGTACAAACATATCCATGATTCCCTTATGTAAGTTTAAGTCGAAGGACTAAGAACACATAAATATAACAGTTAAGTTTGTGTCTCACAAGTTATCTCAAATCTTTCGTAGTAAGGAAGAAGACAGGATGGACCAGATGAAATAGGTGTACTTGCTGGCGATTTCTTAGTATCGAAGAAATATCGAAACGTCCCAAACAATGGACAACAGCACAGAGCAGTCAAAACAAGATGGCGACCGGAAAGAGGGGAAGCAACGTGACCGTACTCGAATGTCAGTGTATACACAAAAGGTACAATGATCAAAGAGTATGAACAAACAAATATTCGATAATACGTTCCCTGATGATAATAATGAATGTAGCCATTTAACCAGCCGTGTTTTTCTTGTCGAATGTGAAATCGCTACAGCCTCATTAATTTATTTCACTACCTTTCTATCTGTTTGATGAAGAATAATGATCTGAAGTTAAACTGAAATGAAAAGAAAGTATTGTGATAAGAATTTAAACTATGATTATAAGACCAAAAATAATAATTTTCAGATATTTTCAATAAATAAAAGACTCGAAATTATTGAGCTAGTGAAACAAAAGTTCCTATAGTTGCCATCGTTCAGACGAATCAAAAAATCACTCGAAGATCGGTGAAGATCATGGATTCAATAATTGGTAGTCATTTTTTCACATTCCTGAGGAGTATCATGCTCAGTAAGTAAAGGTACTATCATTTTCAGTTTTTGGTGATTATTTTATTGCGAATCGAAATATAATACTACTTCGCGGGATGACAAATTTTAATCCCATTACTCTAATAATCAGATAAAAGACGATGCTAGCCGCATGATATCGAAGTAATATCGAGGCCAGAAGGCGTACAAACTGCTAACGTCCAGGCAAGAGACGCCCGAACAAGAGAATAGGAATAAAAACGCTTGGTGCGCGAGAGAGCCTTTGTACAGATTAACAAAAGTTTACAATATAACAATTATTGTCAGAATTAAGTACAATAACAAATGTTTATATTTCAGAAATTGTGCTTTCTTCGTAAAAGTAAACCACTACAATCTCATAGAATCTGTGAGTGAAGAGTGACTATGATCACCACTACAGACCAATCACGCTCTGGCTCTCAATGCGGCGAATCTCATACTGCGTTTCAAGTGTCGCGAACCAGACTTCTGGATTGTGGGCGATGAAGGAAGTTGATCGGAAATTAAGAACCTTCACCTCGGAGTCTATTATATCATCAATATTCTTATCTGCTATGAGAGCAACCTGGGGAAGTGACGTGGTCTCGAGTAGGGTTGTGATCTTAGGCTGTATGTGAGCTGGTAACGCTTCGAGCCACAATTCATTGACCATATCACAGTCAGCTGTCGAAGGTCCTGCCAAAGACTGGAGGCGCATCACGTGGTGGCTTGGCTTGGCATCGTCTAGAGGGTGACTTACTAATAAGATCCTCAAC